CCGCAAGCACACGAAATCAAAGGAGCAGGGCTCTGCCCAGGGCTTTGCCAGAGTCAGGCCTTCTGAGACGGGCCTCGACACCACATTATCCTAGATTGTTTTAAAAGTAAATGGAAGGAGTATAACTGAAAAATTGTGTTCTACACTGGAAATTGACACAACATTGTAAACTGACTATAACTCAATAAAAAAAATGTTAAAAAAAAGTAAATGGAGGGAGGGTATAGCTCAGCTGTAGACTGTGTGCTTAGCATGTACAAGGTCCCGGGTTCAATCCCCAGTACCTCTATAAATAAAATAAACCTAATTACCCCCCCCAAAAGCAACCAGGATGGTGGCTGCCCCTGGACTGACATGCTTGGTCAGGGGGCAGTAGGCTGGCAGAAGTCACAGGGGGGCCATTGCAGGGCCTGGGCACTGGATAGGAGAGGGGCAGACTTCCCACTCTAAACCAAGGTGACTGATATTGATGTAGAAAAGCAAACTTTCTGCACAACTCGGCCACTGACACCACCGCCCCTGGGCTGCTTCCTCACTAAGCAGACCCTAGGGACAGATGCAGGGCTTCACCGGGGGCAGCAGCTCCCACTAGACATGGGACTGCAGAGGGCCAGGAAAGGCCAAAGTCCCCCATCTCCCCAAGGCCCAGTTAGGGCCCTCTCTGAGATACCCTCAGGGGGCAGAATGACAGTGCCTAAAGGCACCTTCCCTCCTGGCCCACCCCTATGCCCTGCAATAAGTACCAAAAACCTCTCCTTTCTCAGGGCTCCTGCTCCTCCCCGTCTGTGCAATCGCATCTCAGAGCTAACTGTAATCTGCTCCCCAACATCCTCTGGAGGGCTCCTCTGTCACAGACAGGATACAAACCTGGGAGACAGTCACTGGACACCCATCCAAGCTCTGCTATTCACAGGCTGCATCATCATGGGCAAGCCTCAGTTTCTTCGTCCACAGAATAGGCATAACTACTCCCTCCCATTTTATAGAGATTAACTGGAGGTTAAAGCATCAGCCAACAAATATTTATTAAACAAGAATTCCAGGGCAGTGTTTCTCAAACCGTAAGGTGCATACACATCACCTGGGAATGCTGTTAAAACGAAGCCTCTGACTCAGTACGTCTGGTAAGGGGCCTGAGAGTCTAATTACTAACAAGCTCCTGGGTGGTGCACATGTGATAATCCTGTACCCCTATCTCCTCACTCGCCATCAGATGCTCAGGTTCCAGAGGGTAAGGGTCCATGCCTCACATTTCTGAGGACACCATCGAAGTAAAGTACACCACAGGAGCTTGAAAAAATGGGGAAGAAAGGACTGAACAAGGGATTATGATAGGCAGAAGAAGAGCCCTTCACTCTGCCCAGGGTTAGCAGGTCACTTGGGAGCAGCGAGCCACAGGACAGGCCTATTTCTGAGTGGCAGACCCATCAAGCTGCTGCCAGGAGGAGCTGGCGGCAGGCCCTGGGGAAAGAAAGTTCTTCCTCCAAAGCCAGAGGCCCAGCCCACCTCCCAGCAGTGGTGGTGCCCCCACCAGACCCTAAAGTCCAGTCCGTCTACTCCCAGCAGGACCAGGTCCATGAGCCCAGGTGTGACGCTGGCGGGCAGTTTGCTCAGACAGGGAACTGAAGCGTTTTCTTTTTCCATCTTAGTGAAAAATATGCCATTTTCATATTATTTCTGAACTTGACAGGGACAATAACTTTTCTCTCCTTAGAGAAGTTCGGGGGTCCATACCCACCATCCAATTTACACATATGTGCGTGTAATGTTTCTGCATTTCAGGCAAGAGAAACCCAAGACTACCTCAACTGCCTCCTCTCAGGCTCCCGGGATGGTGTCCGAAGCTCCCCCTGAGAAGCAGAAAGCACCCTCTGGTCTACTCCACGTCCCCCCCGACTTCAGAGGAAGTCTAAGACCTTGTGAGTGATCCCTCAGAGGACACACTGCCAAGTTCCTCTGCTCGGAAGGGGGAAGCCAGTGAGCTGAGTGTTCTTATGTCGGTTGAGGGTGAAGAGCCCCAGAGCCTGCTCCTGAGACTCCAGGCCTGGCCGCTCAGGCCCCCCCAGGACACACAGCCCCGCCCTCCTGCCTCCAGCCAAGTGTGCCTAAGAACCAAATTCCCTGTCCCACTGGAAGGTACCGAGTGGGACCATGGAGCAGAATCCAATGCAAGATGATATACAGGCTGAGGTGTACCAGCCTGGCCAGGCAGGGCGCTGGGGAGCAGACATGCAGGCTCCCGAGGGCCCAACATGAGAGGCTGCCTCGGGGCGGGGCACTCAGGGTTAAACACAAGCCAATTGATGGCCAAGTAAGTCACTTCACTTTGGCCAGCGGTGGTTTCCTCATCTGTAACATGAGACTCGGCCCAGATCATTTCCACAATTCCTTTCAGCCTAGAATTCTGAGCAGCACCATCATGGGGTGTTGATGAGCTCTGACTACCTGGGTTCAAATCCTGGCTCTGTCCCTCCCAGTGACATCCTCACGAGTCTCTTCGCTTTCTCATCTGTACCTCATCTGTATTACAGGAATGAAAAGGACACCTACTCAGGGGCATCACTGTGCGGACTGAACGAGGGCATACCTGGCAAGCAGTGAGGGCGTAATATCATCATTCTGTGAACTCTGCGGCCTCCCACTGATACCATTCCTTCTGTGGACTGAAGGTTTGTATCCCCTCAAATTCATGTTGTAGCTCTAGCCCCCAATGTGATGGTATTTGGAGGTGGTGCCTTTGGGAGGTAATGAGGGTCAGATGAGGTCATAAGGGTGGGGACCTTATGCTGGAATTAGTGGCTTCACAAGAAAGGAGAGAGAGAGAGGGATCTCTCCATGAGCACATATGGGGGAAAGGCCATGTGAGGACACAGTGAGAAAGCGGCCATCTGCAACCTAAGGGGAAAGCCCTCATTAGACACCACCCTGCTGGTACACTGATCTTGGACTTCCCAGCCTCCAGAACTATGAGAAATAAATTCCTACTGTTTAAGCCACCCAGTCTGTGGTATTTTGTTACGGCAGCCCAGCAGACCAAGACAAGCCCCATGCTCGTAAATGGAGTCAGGACCAATGACCCGCCATCCCCATCCCTATTCTCTGCATGGGGAGCCCCGCCAGGTCCCCCCAAACCCAGGAAAATCAACACCATGCACACCCTGGAGGCCACGGGCACGGTCTCAAGCACATGCAGGGTCAGCATGCCGAGTAGCAGGGCACAGGCACTGTGACAGGACAGGGAGGACAGGCAGAGAGGAGGCAGACAAGTAGGAGGCCGAGTGCAGTCAGAGGGAAGCGGGGAGCTAGCACAGCCCATGACCGAGCAGCCCATGCCAGGGACACCCGGCTCCTTACCTCCCCTGCAGGACCTCTGACCACCGGGCCTGTGTTCCCCCAAGAAGCTGGAGGCGTGCTGGAAAGAGTAGAGAGCAGGAGACAGGGAGCAGTAGGTACCGAGCCAGGTCTACAGGAGAAAGTGCTGCAAAGGAGCCCTAGGGAAGGGTGTTAGGTTCGGGGAGTCTGTGGCAGAAGTAGTTTCCGAGAGGCCCAAAAGACCCAAATGCCAAATGAAGATCACCTCCAGGTCTAGCCTGTGCCAGAGAAGGGGACGAGAAGCAAAAGGAGAAGACCCCCCACACTGGACCATCCCAGAGGGACGCCTGCCCCCACAGGCTGGCGCTGGGTCTGTCCAGGGTGAAAATCTCAGATTTCCCAGGATGGCGTTAACAGTCTCTCAATGGGGAAAGGGACCCAGAGACCCAGGGGTGGACAAAGAGCTCTCAAGAAGCCCCACCAGCCATGGTCAAAGGAGGTTGTGCCCTGCCAGATGTCATAGTCAATCCCTGGGACCCAAAGGAGACAGGGAAGTGGGAGTGAGGGGCTCCTATTCCAAGGCGAATGTCAAAGAGTGGAGGTTCCAATCCTGGCTCCACCACAAATTTCTGGGTAACTTCAGGTTCATCCCCTTTGTGGGCCTCAGTTTCCCCACATACAAGATGGGAGAATGTCCCTATCTACAGTAAAAAAAAAGGTGACGAATACTCTACCAATGCCAGATACCAAATCCCCACAGGGCTACATGCACCTCTAGACTTTTCCCTGGGGGCTGGTTTGTGCTGGATAAAGAGATGATCACACATCCAAGATTTCTGGCCACAGTCTGGGACTCCACTGTCGCCAGGAGCCACCCCTCAGTCTCTGTGATCCCAGGGTTCCTGGATCCAGGGAAGGAGGAGCCTGAAGTTTCGGGTAGGGCTTTTACCGCCACGGATCACCTTCAGGGTCAGCTCAAGGGCACTCTTTCCCCAGGTGGGCATCCACAGTCCCCATCATGAAACTCCTGCATCACTGACCCTGTGTGCCTGGCTTCCCCCTGGAGCATCCCTTGCCCTGGGAACTGGCTGTGAATTGCCCATCACTAGATCCCAGCACCGCCTCCCTGGGCCGCTCACAGCAGGTGCCCAGCAAGTCGGTGAGGAGTGGCAGGCTGCTCTGAACCACCAAACACTCAATCTGTAGCCAATGTCAGGCACTAGTGCCAGCCTGACCACTGGTGGCATATTGTTTAAGCCTTTCTCAACCTGGTTATACAACTGATTCCTCTCAGTCAAGGTTCACCCTGCAAGGGCAGGTATTACAACCTTGTCTTACAGATAAGTCAGCTAGGGCCGGAAAAGGTGAAGAGGTATCCGCCCAGGGGCACAGTTGGGTAACTAGCTGTCGATAGAGCCAGAATAAGAACTCAAGTCTTCTGACCGGATGTCCAGCCTGGCATCTGCTGTCAGCCAGCACACACTGGTGTGGCTGGTTACCCTGGCGTCCACCTGGCTAGTCAGTGCTTGGGCACTCCCAGAGTTTAGGTATATTAAACACTGGCCCTGCAGGCCCCCCTCACCCCAGCTTTGCTGCCCTTTAGCTGCCACCCGCTCCTGGCACTTGGGGGCCAGAGAGTAAGGAGCTGGGCACAGTGGTGGGGAGCCCCGGTCGGCGTCCACACCCACCTTTGATGACAAAGGCCTCCGCCAGCAGCCGCATCTGATACAGAGGCTTGTTCTCCATGGACATGTCATCAATCCCGGCCCGCGCGTACATGCTGATGGCATCTCGGTACGAGCCCTCCACGTAGTGCAGCTTGCCCAGAATCAGCATGGCCTCACACAGGTACTGCGGCTGAAAGGACAAGGACCACATCAGCAGGCTTTGGCCCCAAGGCCCCCAGCCCCAACCCCACCACGTACCCTGGATGAACGCCCTCTCACTGAGCCATGATGACTTGCCCGAGACCCTGCTCGGAACTCCCCTCCTCCTCCAGGAAGCCTCCCTGACCCTCAAGCACATGTGGATGGCTCTACTCTCTCCACACCTGCAGTCCGTGGCCTATGCTGTGGCTCCTACTGACCTTATTATGTGAGTCCTTAATTGTTTCACGTGTGTGTCTTACGCCCCCAGCTCAACTGCAGGCAGTTTGCATCTGGGCCCTGACTTCTCTCCCCTGAAGCCCCCAGAGGCTTCGGCCCAAAGCTGGTGCTCAGAGTCCAGGCACTTGTTCTTAACACAAATGGGGAGTCAGGGACTCAGCCGAGTTTTGTGGGGTGTAAAGCTTATATATTTTGGGGGGTCCTCTAGATACACATACGTGTACAAAAATACAGTTAGGTGGAAGAAAAGAGCCCTGCAGGTGAGGGGCCTGAAGCTGAAACTCCTCCCCCCACACACAGCAGCAGGATCCCTGTGGGGAGACGGCCCCAGCAGCAGCGTGGACAGAAGCCAGAAGGAGCAAGAACGCTGGCAGGGTCACCGTCCTCATCTTATCAGATGTGGGTGAAAGGGCAGAATCAAGTGCCTGCATTCAAACCTGCTTTCTTTCCCCTCTTTTCTCAAGTGCTCCTTATGCCCAAGTCTCCACTCCATATAAGGACTCTCAGGGCCTCCCTCAGGGCCCAAGGAGGTCTGGCCAGACCTGCCTGAGACTCCTGGTCTTGGACATGGGCCCAGACTTGCTCTAAAATCTCCCACCTTCTTTTTATTATTATTATTTTTTAATTTCTTTAGGGTGGAGGTAATTAGGTTATTTATTGTTTGTTTATTTATATGGAGGCACTGGGTATCGAACCCAGGACCTCATGCATACTAAGCACGCCATCTACCACTGAGCTACACCCTACCCCTAAAATCTCCTATCTCCTGAGGCTACTTTATTTATTTATTTATTTATTTATTTATTTATTTATTTATTTATTTATTTATTTATTTTTGAAATTTAAAGAAAAAATTTATTGAAGATCTGAAAAACAATTTCTAAAAGATTGACTTTTCCAGAAAACTGTAGCTACACAATGCATTGCGTCTATCATGTTAAAACGTGCATTAGACACAAATACAAAAACCATGAAACAAGCCACCATTCTTCAACAATCTGAGCAAAGATAAAATGCCTAAGGAACAACATGGATGACTTGCAAAGGATGGGCTCTTTACTTTAAGCACCATTAAAAAAAAAGAGGGGAGCACAAATGGATGAGTGTGTTCAGTTATATACACTGAATTGAACCTTTGGCACTAGGAATCAGAGCATTCTGTCATATAGCATTAACACATATTATAAAAGTGCGTAGTGTCAAAGGAATAGAACCACCAGCATTCAAAAGCAGCTTTGTCAACTAAGCAATAAAACACTCTACAGTATGTCTCCCTGTTGTCCATCACTGAATACACTGGTAGCAACTTTGAAATGAAAAAAAAAGAGAAAAGAAAAAAGGAGCTGTACCCCCTTTTATTTTCTCTGTTTAAAATCAAACAGAAAACAAACATCAATTCTGTTATACGCTAACATTTCCAAAGTACATCATTTGTACAAGAGAATGACTGAAACAAAAATGTGTTTACAGAGATCCAAACATAAGTGAGTGTAAGAGCCTCACACAGCTTTCCGATGGTACTCAGGAGGGGCCACTTCATAATCGCTGGCACTAAACAAAGTTGCAGAGTTCTTTGCCAGGTATTCTAGGGAATCATGAAGATAATTCAGTAATAAAGCAAGGCTCTTCTCATCCAGAGGCGTACAGGCCAACATTGCTCCAATTCGTACAAATAATCTCAGTAGATGTGGCGCTCCATACACCTGGGACATGGGCGCGTCAGGATGATCAGCAGGGATTTCAGTATACTGTGGTCTCTCAAATTTGTAGAGTAGTTGAGTGCCCAACATTACATTGAAGTATTCCTTTATCCCTGCCATGACTTCATTAACAGCATACTCCTTATTATCTGTGTTTCCACAAGATTTCTTATAATTTGCATAATCCTCTAGAATGGAATCCACATTCTTCTTGGCAGGAAGATAAAAGAGCTGTTTTTGTCAGGTAATTAAGTCCGAATCATCAACAAGCCATGGTTTTAGTTTTTCAGGAATCTTTACTTTAACCTCAACTCTGTTCATGAATGTTTCCTTGTTTTCAACAGTAGGATCTACTCGGGCCCTTTTCTTGCGAGGAGGCTGAGGTGTCCCACTGGTACTGCCACCATCTCCATTTCCAGGTGTTTTCTGTTTGTTCTCTCTTCAACACTTTTCTGTTGCAGACCAGATGTCTTCTTTCCAGGGGCAGCCCCTCTCATCTTCCCCTCTGCATATTGCTCCTGATTGGCTTTTTGAAGTTCTCATTGTTTCTGCAGATCAGTGTCCACGTATTTGAGTACTCTGCTTTCTGGAACCCACTCATGCCAATTTTTATTCCAACCACTGTAATGTATAAAGTATTTCACTTGTTTATCCTTTATGGCAACCTTTACACACTTTGCTTCATATAGAAGAGGCCCATGAAAGCACAGCACTCGCTCACCCTCCTGGAATTTAGGCTTTGGGTCCTGCTTCGGCGCCATTTATTAGTGATTCGCCACCGCCTCCTCCTTCTCCCACCACCCACGACTACCGCCCCCTACTCTCTACCCCTGAGGCTACTTTTTTTAGCCCTCCACCTCCATTTCTGTGCTCAGCCGGCCCCCCACCCCTTTGGCCAGGCTCTTGGCACCACCCCCGCCACACAGCATCAATTCTGTCCATGGAGCTCCCAGGTCCCCACCCTGGCCTCTGTCACCAACAGGAAGGTGCTGCCCCTGGTTTCGTTGGGGAGATCAGAGGTTGAGATGCCTGTAACCCTAGGGGAAGCCTCCACCACTCCGCAGCATCAACCGCCCTCTCAGAAGCCAAGGAAGAGAAAGGAACACCTCAAAGCCAAATTCTCCTTACTCACTGGTCTTAAGTTTTGTAAATACATATCCTTTCTTTGCCTTTGCTTACACAAGCCCCCTATCTGGAATAGCCTCCCTTCCCCCTCAGTCTATCCAGATCCTCCACCATCCTTTGAGGCTTTGCTCAGGCCCACCTCCTCCTAGAACCCTCCCTGACTACCACGGAGCTCCCTTCTGTTGACCTCCTACAATGCCTCCACCAAGTGGTCCCACTGAACCCCCGCGTGCCTGACCTGCTGATTAGTGATTGACTCTCAAAGGCTGAATTTTTCAAGGGCATTTGCTAGTCTCCCCAAATAGGCCACCTATACCCTGGTCCAGGGCGACAGATGACACACTCCCAGAGGCACGTGGCTTATGGTCCCTCCAAGCTGGGCAACAACTCTGCCATCCCTGCTCCCCTGGCCTCAGGCCACAGGCACATTTCCTCCCCATTCTGGCCTGGTCTTCCCCATTGCTGAGGGCAAGAGAAAAACAGCCACCCCTCACCTCCATCATAGCAATGCCAAGACCATTAATAGAGCGAAGTCCAGAAAAGAGCTTTGAACTTTTCTTTAGAAACGAGCTAGCTAAGTACAGGCCATGAGTAATTATTATGATTATCCTGCTCCACTGTAACGGGGGAAAGGGCAGCTAAGCTCAGGACAGGTTTCAGGGCGAGATGACAGGATGTAGCTTGCTGTGGTTTCCGGTGGACCAATGACAGTTTACAGCAGAGCTTCCATCAAGCTAGGGAAAAATTAAGGACAACGTGATGAATGTTTCATAAAGCTATATTTATAATATTTAAAAAGGTGGCCTTGATTCTTAAGCATAGCTGTCTTGTGTTTTGGTGTTAAGATTTTTTTTTTAAATGGAGTGTTGTTAGTAGAAAATGGTATGATTTTGCTGTTGTTTTTGTTTGTTTGTTTGTTTTAATGTCCTTACTTGGCAGAATGGAAAGTTGGGGACACTCGGCGGGATCCATGCATTTGAATTTGAACCTGGTCTATCAATCCAACAGTCAGGGAACCACAGAGCCCTGGCCTATGGAAGGATGCTGTGCAGGAAGTCACCCAGTCCAGGAAGAATAGTGCCTCTGCTGTGCAGATCTGGTGTGTCACCTAGTCTTTTTGTGTCTCACTGTCTCTGTCGATAAAGAGGGAAGAATGACCTCACGGGATATCCAGGTAAGAGGAGGAAGAGATAAGGAAATACTTCACGAATGCATAATGAAACCTGTAAAATGGGGAAAGTCAGCAACATCACCAACATTAATCCAAGTTTCTCAGTCATTATTTTATTCCCACTCCAGTACTAGGAAGACAGCACTGGGCAGTGGCAAAGAGCATGAAAACCTGCATGTGGAGACAAACAGGCCAGTGTTCCAGTCCTGCACTGTGGTCCTTGGCTAAGTGACTAACCTCTCCTGGGTCTCAGTTTCTTCATCTGGAAAATGGAGATAATAATAAACACCACTGCAGAAGGTACTAGTGAGACGATGCAAGGCCTGGCACTCACCGGATAACAGAAGTTATGACAAAAGGCTCGTTTTCACCCATCACCAAAGGACTGAGCTGTATAGGATCTCAGAGATGACAGAGTAGAAGGTTCCGAACTACACCGAGGAGATGCCTCAGGACCCACCTCTCCTCCTCATCCCATCAGATGGTGGGAACTGAGACTTCATCTGCTGCCAGGAAACATCACCCCCCTAGCCACACCCTGGTGTTTGGGGAAAGATAAAAGAATCCTACCAACTACTTTTAATATTTTATTTTGCCTGATCGACATTGAGTTTTTGGACTTGGCCCAGCTGACAGTGAACTTCTTAATGTTATCGGCGCCTGTATGTTTCTTTGATCAATAAAGCATTGTAAAATTTGTACTTAATAAATGTGATATAGTAGACAAAACAGCTTTCACAATAATACATGGGGATACTATTCAGTCAATACAAAGAGTGAGGTACTGGCATGGAGAAAGCACCAAGGGAAAGTTCTCAGTGCAGAAGAACAAATTAACAAATAGGAATTCTGACTTTAATGAGAAAAGAAAGCTCTCTACGTGTGTGTTTGTTACCCCAGAGGCGTGTGGTACACACACCAAATGGTGACCAGTGCTTAACTCTAGAGATGGGAGTGGGCGTGAAGGCGGGGGTGGAAACAAGGACTCTCACTTATTATTCAAACTACTTGTTTATTTAGTAAATTTTTTTTTACAATAAGCCTGTGTCATTTATTTAGAAAAGAATTTTTAAATATTTAATGGAGTCTACTGAAGAAAAAATTATAATGGGTGTTGGTGGGAAAAGCTTGGGACTCACTAATCAAGTTCAACCGTTCTGGTTAGCAGATGAGGACCCAGAGGGCCCAGGAGATCAGGGAAAGGCTCAGGGTCACAGAGGTATTTTAATCCAACACAAAACCTCCCAGACCAATAATCCCTGCCAAGGAATCTAAAGGCAGTAAACTTTTTTTTTTTAATATTATTTTTTTCTAGGGGGAAGGTAATTAGGTTTATTTATTTTTTATTTTTTTTTTGAGAGGGTACTGGGGATTGAATCCAGGACCTCATGCATGTTAAGCATGCACTCTACCACTTGAGCTATACCCTCCTCCAAGGCAATAATCTTAAACTTTCAGTATATTCTCTCTACACTGCTTACAGAAAATGCCCCCCACTTCTTAGCCTGGTGTTCCAGTTCCACTCTCTGGCCCCCATGTCCCTTTAATAACCTAATTATATACCATCCCTTATGCTCTTGCTAATTGATGTACTTTAAGGAAATTCTTACAAGAAGAACTCTTGGATTAAGCACTACTTCCGTAGGACGCCCTGTCCTATCTCTGTACGTCCGTATCCCTGCCCGCTTCAAGGTCCAGCCCCTAAAAGGGTCCAATTCTAGCACTACCTTCACCCTGAGTTGACTCTCCACTTCACCCCAGGGAGTGTCCCCCTGGGGCTTGCCTCCTACATACACCACTTCTGTGGTATGTGTCACAGTCCACCTTGGACAATTTGCCAATACGGCTATCTTCCTAGTATCCCTGAAACCTCCCTGAGGGCAGGGTCCATGCTGAACTCATCTTTATTGCTAGCAAAGTACATAACACAATGTCTTGCAGATAGCAGTTTGCAATAAAATATTTAAACTAGTAAATACATACTTTGGAACATCTCTTGAAAAATCATGTCCTCTTTGGGTCTCTAACGACATACTCATGCTTCTATTATAGCTCAGGATACACTGTAGTTCAGAACAAACTTTAACGTGCACTAGAATCACTGGAAGAGCTTGTTAAAATGCAGATTCTGAATCAGATTTTACATTCCTAATCAGCTCCCAGATGATGCCCGTACTGTGGGTGGGTGGACCACACTGTGAGCAGTAAAGGTCTAAAGAAAGCTGTAGCTATACTTGCCTCTAGATCTCCCTTCAGTGCCTTGCATATAGTAGGTGCTCAATAAGTGCACACAGACTCAGACTGGCTTGCCATGTTATGGAGCACTTGCGCTGCTAGCCCACTCCGTAGGTTTGCCTGGTTCTAGCTAGATCATAGACTCACTGAGGTTTTATTTCCCTGAGACCCTCCAAGAGGCCAAAGGACCAAGTGCAAACTGGGTCAACCAAGTCCTATGTAACAGAAATGTAACTTAGACGAGAGTGGCATTGCAAATAGCAGCAAATCTCTGCAACCAATTTTTTTTATAAGCGACAGCCAGACTGAGCTGCCACTGTCAAGACGGCTGTTCAGGCCCTGCCCTATGTACCTTGGGACCCTTTTGCAGACCCTGCCCCCTGGGCTGAGAAGGAATCACTTTGAGAAGAAAGGAAAAAAAAAAGAAAGAAAAAGAAATGTAACTTAAGCCACAAGTGCAAGCCACAAATATAATTTTAATTTTTCTAGTAAAAATTTTTAGTCCATTAAAAACAGTAAAAATAGGTGAAATTAATTTTAATAATATATTTCATTTAATATATCCAAAATATTATCATTTGGATATGTAATCTATATAAAGAATGAGCGATCTTTTACATGCTTCATTTTCTGCTAAGTCTTTGGAACCCAGTGTGTGTTTTATACTCACAAGCCACATTTCAAGTGCTCAAGAGACACATGAGGCTAATGGTTGCAGTACTGAACATCTCAGAGCCAACCCTTAAGAGACACACTGCTCAGGAGACCAAACGACCCAGGGAGGATTTAATGGCAGACAGGAGGCAGGAGAGAGAGGAGAGAAGGCCCCAGGCTAGGGGAGTGGGGACTTACCGGCAGCGTCCCGTGGTTAAGGATACTGCTCAGGTAGTTTCTGGCTTCATTCATCTTCGGCTCATTCTTATCCAGCAAAGGGATGGAGTCTTTTGTCTTGGCGTGGTTCTCCTTCAAACACTGCTCCAGGAGGGCCTCGGCCAGGAGCAACTTCCCAAAGTCATCTGGAAACCAGGCCAGGGATCAGTGTGGGTACAAGAGGGCAGAAGCCCCCCAAACATGGCAGATGTGGAGACTGGTCCACACTCCCGTACCCACCCAGCTATCCCCACCCCAGCACCTGAATGGCCCAGGTCCAAGAAGATAAATAAAGACATAGTTTCCATACCCTTAAACAGCCTTTAAAGAAAAACACATTCTGGGGGAGGGGGGATGGAGGGGAGGGGTAGATTAGAAATTTGGGAATAACAAATACACATTACCATATATGAAACAGATGGACAACAAGGACCTACTGTATAGCACAAGGCAATATACTCAATTTCTTATAATGAGCTGTAATAGGAAAGAATCTTAAAAAAAAAAGTATGTATGTATATGTATAACTGAATCGCTTTGCTATACTCCTGAAACTAACATTTTAAATTGACTACACTTCAATAAAAAATAAATAAATAAACCCCTCCTCCCCCCAAAAAACACAGACATTCTGCCATGGTCACAGCACAAACTACCCCCTTAGGTTTATCTTCTGTAATTTGGTGGTTGGGGAGGTAGAGTTCCCAGGACTTAGAACAAACTCCCAGAATCTTGAAATTTAAAATGAGAGACAAAGTCACACCCGTGCCCCACTGTGGGTGATAAGTTCTTACTCCAAGAAGGAATTTCCCACAAACAATTGAAGAGGAAAAATATAGGAAGTGGCTTTATAATGCATTTTCACATGCTCCTAATTTCTGTGTAATCAGAATTGATTTTCTGTTTTTAAGGCAGAGACAAGGTGGGAAGCAGATTTACTGGTGTAGCAAGGCAAATCCCTGAACATCTTCAGTACTGGCACTTTCTGGACTTCTCTCATGTTAGCTCATCCAAAGACCTCACCACCCATCTGGTGATTTGCTTGGTTTAATTTGCTGCCTCCCCCACAGCACTGAAAACTGGTCTTGGGGCCACCATATTCCTGCTACCTACAGCAGGGACGACACGGGTCAGGTTCAGGGTGCAAGGTCGAGGGTGGTTTTATGACAGCCTCAAGTGGCTGTGCTCGGTATGACTGGCTCATTGCCCACTCCCCACAAAAAGAGCAAGGACCAGGCCCGGCACTTAATATAGGAGCCTGACAAGTAGCTGCTGAGTGAGTCGGATCCCTTCCACTCCCCCATGGGGAAGCCATGCGGCTCAGGAAGTTGCGTGCCAACCCAAAATGACTCCAGGAGTGTGCACTGGGTCCTGAGTCCTCTAGGGCTCTTCCTGCTGCCAGGATGGCATTCTCAGACCTACCTGAATGTCACTCACTCCTACTCTCAGGACTACTGCAGTCTGCTCACAAAGCAAAGCCGCAGGTCTAAAATTGCATGCCCCCGAAGAAGGGGCTCTCTCCTTCCGTAAGGTAGATTCCCCACAGAGAGCATCCCAGAAGCCCAGGTCCCAGAAACAGTCACAGGAGATGTTCCCACTGAGGATGCCACAGCGGGTTCATGGATCCTTTGCTATCTACCTCATGATTTTTAAAATTAAATTGGAGGATATGGCCAAAAATGATGGATCAAAGTATCATCCATCACTGCTGGGGTAGAAGGTGGTAGAATCTCTATAAATTATAGGGCAATCTGGTGACATACATCAAAATTATTTGAAGGGGAAGGCATAGCTCAGGGGTAGAGTGCAGCCTAGCATGCATGAGGTCCTGGGTTCAATCCCCAGTGCTCCATTAAATAAATAAATAAGTAAACAAACAAACAAACATTATTACCTCCCCCCCAAAAACCAAAAACGAACAAAATTATTTTTGCACATCCCCAATGACTCAACAATCTCATTCCTACAGATTTCCTCGAGCCTGTATAAAATGACTGACCTATATGGTCATTCCCGCAGAGTTGGTTACATAATAGCAGAAAACTAGGTGACAACTTTTACGTCCATCAACAGGAGGCTGATTAAATAAAGCATGGTATATCCATTAAAAGGGATACTGTGTCACTATATAAAGGAAAGAGGAAGTTCTGTATGAGCTGTCATGGAATGAACTTCAAGATATACTGATTAGAAAGCAGAGCACACACAGTGAACCACTGTGTGTTTATGCATAAAAACATACACAGACATCTGCTAAACTTGCTGCCTTACAGGGAAGGGGGCAGAGACAGAGGGAGGCTTTTCACTCCTTACTTTTGAGTACCTTTGGAAGGCTGACCCATGTGAATATATGACCTAGTCAAAAATAAAATTTAAATCAACCCAAGAATAAAAGGCAATCTTCTCCCATGTTTCTAAATTTCACTCAGGAGGAGTGCGCTGCTTAGAAGTGAGTGTCCGAGCATCACTGAGCTGTGGGCCAGTGGGCAAGTTGCTGTCCTCCTCTAACCTGTTTTGCATGCATAAAACCTGAGGTAGAATTAGAAATCTGCTCCTGCTGAGGGAACCACGGCCCTCCCCAGGCTCCGCCTCTCAGGCTGGTCCCGTCCCTCTGCCGCCAGGTGCACTTTCGCACGACTCCCGCCCCACAAGCCGAGCCATCAGGCCACCAGGCCCCGCCTCTGCAACATAACCACCCAGCCCACAGCTCTGTACAGCTTTCCTTTCATGCCAAGAGAAACCAGCTTCCTTCTTGGCAAAATTCAATCTTCAAATACTCCCCAGGTCCCATACCTTTCCTCAAAATAATGGGAGTGTCTTCTGAACATGTGCTGCTCAAAGTGTGGTCCATGGTCTAGGGAGAATCTGTGCCTGTTTGTGACCCAGTCCCTTAGGATGAGGGCAGAAATTAAGAGCACGTGTTCAGAAACATTGGTAACCACGTGACAAAAGAATTGTGAATCTGCTGAATCAAATACTAAAAAAAAATGGGGGGGAATCACTTTGTGTATTTTAAGAAAGTATTAGAGCACACAGAGTAGGAATTTAAAAAAACAGAACATTTCACTACAGATTTTCTGAGAAGCACTGCTCTAAACCACAAGAGTTCCTTTTACTGTGAAAGGGGGACTGATTTGTTGGGAGCCCACCGAGTACTAGGTATTTCAATGAATAGTATCATTTAATCTGCACGGCTCTAAAAGTTAGAAGTTATTCCCATTTTATAGATGATAATAAAGATGCAATATTGTTATGGTCACAGCCCACAAAAACATAACACAACCAAAGAACAGTCTGTCTCCCTTACATCCCATGAAGAACAGAGCTTCTGATAGTTTGGAAATAAAGAACAGTCCAAGAGCTGTAAACGGTAGGTTAAAAGCTAATCATAATTTCAAGGGCAGGAATAAGCATAGTTCTGACTGTCACACACCTGTGAGTTTCAGACTACTTTGCAAACTGGCACTTCGGGTCTGTCTCCAGAGCCTTTCTGCCCTCCCACTTCACTCCCCACTCAGTCTCTTTGGGTTTTTGTTTACCACACACTCCAGGAGATGTTGGGAATTTACTTTTCTTCCTTGAGCAACTCTTCTCCCTGCTCTACATTTTCCATCCCACTATTCTCAACTGGTCAGTCTATGGAACTGACAGGTATTTTGGAATTAAAAGTTCTAGATTGTCAGCTGTTCATTAAGAACCCAGGTGGATCTCAGCTTCTCCATCCTTCTCCAAAAGTAAAACAGATTGCTTTTAATCATCTTATTGTCCAAAACCTACTCCCTATCTTGGGTTGGGTCAAATGCTCCAGTCTCCCCCTTCCTGGGACATCAGGAAGGCCGTCCTCACTGACAAGGAAGTCTCTGGGAGCCTGGGTCCTGCCTGCAGCCCAGCCTAGCCCTATACCTTTAATAGAGGCCCAAAGGAGGCCCCCACTTAGTGGCCTCCCTAGTCTGCCCACCTTGTCCTGGAGGCCTCTGGCGGCTGGTTTCCTCTCTACTCCCACCTCTCTCCAGGCCTCTCTTAGGTACCAGGGCACAGGGACCCACTTCAATGATACCGGCCTCCTCCCCAGATCCTGTATTTCCAGGCTAGTGATCCCCTCTCTTCCACCTGCCAATTCAGTCAGGAAAGCTGGATCCAGCCAGCGGGCCAGGTACTAAGACCAGGCCCTTCCCTATTGGGTCAAGTAGGGACACAGTGGTCTCTGCAGTTGTTCACTTCACAAGACTGCAAAGGGCTGGGGACCTTCCAACCACAGGGAGAGGAGGAGGAGGGCAAAACTGGTGAGAGGCCACCTGCCTTAAACACACTCTCTCTAACGTCAGCTGAAAAAAAAATTTCAGAACAATCTCCAGTTTTTTAATAAAGTCACTAATTAAAAGATTAGAGGGTGACTAGAGATTAGGAGAGACTTGAGATGGCTGGAGAGACGGGCAAACGTGATAAAGCAAGTATAGTAAAAGATTAGAATCCAGGTGGTGGGAATGTATTTTCATAATAAAAAGTTGGGGATAAAAGAGAGATTCAACCTATTAACCAAATGTAATGTACGGCCTTATGTGGATCCTGATTCTAGCAAATGAACTGTAAAATTAAATCATTAGATTGGGGCAGGGAGCTATAATAATAATATGGTAGCTTTATTTTTCAAAAGAGTTCTTATTTAAAATAAATGCATACTGAAACATAACAATGTGGGGGAGAGATGGGCCAGGGTGTTAACTCAAAAAGTTGTTCATGAGTTCATAACCACTGACGTTGGTTGATGGACACACGGGATTCATTCTTCTCTCTACTTTTTTGATGTTTTGGAATTTTTCCATCATAAAGATTTTTTTTCTTTTTTTTAAATCACTTGGTTAGGTTCTTTCTTTTTATATGAACAAACCTCATCACAATCAGCTGCACCCTGGGGTTCCCCTGCTCCATCCTGACCAAATCTAAACCGGATGTGCGTTTGAAAGAAAATGTACAGAGTAGCAACCACCTTCCCCCCGGGGAAGGTGGCAGGCAGCAGCCTCCCCGGACAGGAAGAGAGGGTAGAGGCCCCTTCTGTGGGAGCATCTCCTGATCCTTCACTCCCACAAGACCAGAAAGAGGCCTCCCACTCCAGCCGGTTTTCCCCTCCTGCCCCTGCAGTGAAATCCATGTTCTGGGAGCTACACCTAGTTTCTGTAGGAAATCCCCACAGATATGGCAGGTCTCAGTCCGTAAAACAGGGTTCTTCTGGGGTTCAGCTTCCTGCCTCAGCACCTTCCTCCCCTCTCCCAAATTATGGGAGAAGCTTCCACTCACTGACTGTAAGAGTCTAACAGGCCAGGTAGAACTTTAAGAATTTCCCTCCTGGGCTGCTGAAGGGTCAGCGCCAACATCTCCTCAAAAAAACAGGCTCTCGATCCCTCGAGTGATTAAGAAACCTAGTGGAGAGAAAACCAAAATAGCAGAAATCCAAAAAATGCCCTAAGCATGGGCTTCAGGAGTCATGTGTTTTCCTTCCTCATGTCTATGTGTGCACGTGCCTGCGTGCGTGCGTTTTGGGATAAGTGTGTCTGGATTTAATGGTGAGAGAAAAATCACTCATAAAACCAAACCTAAAAATTGGCAAGAGAGACCCCACTGCCCCCAGCCTCCGTCTCTGTGCTGGTCAGTTCCCACCGTGCGGCCAAGCCAGGCTCCACCCTCGTCCCTGTCACTAGCAGCCTTGGTGGCAGGGACTCGCTCAGGTTTGGGTACTGTCTCTGCCACATACTCATTATGTGACCTTTCTGGCCCTTGGTGTCTAAAATGAGGACAAAAATTCCTGCCCTCTCCACAGGGTTGTTTTCAAAAATGTTTCTTTAAATAGAAGAAGCACTTTATAACCATACCATACCATTTATAAACTATGCATATCAGTGTTTCCCAATAATTCTTCATAGAATATGGTCAAAGTAAGTTTGAGAAATGTGGTGTTTATACCCTAACCTCAGCTTGAACATCACATGCAGGTGAGCACATTAAAAGCTCTAAGAAGTCCTGCAGTTTAAAAAAAAAAATCAGTTTAACCATATTGAATCTGTTAGATCCAATGTCTTAACTATTTTTTTGGCTTTCCAAACCCTTTTGTCCTGCGATACCAATTAATTACTCAACCTCCTTGAGACCTCTAAAGAACAGCTTAGGAAGTACAGCTCTTTTATAAACTCCAGGAGGTCCCAGTTCCCGCCTTGCGCCCAGAATGTTTCTCTGTGGTGCTGCCAGCATCACTTAGATTCCCACACCCTGTCCAGGCCCCAGTGCCCTCTGCATGGGTCAGTTTCCATTCCCACCCTCACCAGCCCCACCCCACTACATCACCCCCCACAGGGAACAGAGGGGGAACCCGCAATTTATTTAGTCTTCCCTGGTAGAGGCGGACTCACCAGTTTCTCCCAAACATGCAACTTTAGCTGTGGCCAGTGCTCTTCACTCCCACACTCAGACCTATCTCAAAGCCTCGAACCAACTGTCCATCCCTGCCACCTACCCACTTCAGTGTCCATCCATCCTTCCTCTTCACTCTGCCCTTCCCAACACCAGTTAGAGGCCAGTACAAATTCTCCTGCTTCCTGAAACCTCCTCTTCCTCTGAGCCCCACAATCTAACACATAATTGCCCTCTGATCACCCCTCTGCGTCCCCATCCATTGTGTCATCTCTTCAAGCTGGGGTTTTGTCACACACATTTGAGAGCTAATAGTGCAAGTGGTTGAAAGGATGTACTTAGAAACCTGGGTTCCAACCCTGGTTCCACCACTTACTGGCTGGATCAACAAGTTACTTAAGTTCTCTGTGCCTCAGTTTCCTTACCAGTACATGGCAAACAAGAGTAATTGCTTCATGCGGTTGTTGGGAGAAATTAAAGAGGTGATTACAGTGCTTAGGACACTGACACACAGTGAGTACTAGTTAAGTGTTAACTATTACTTATTGTTACTGTCATTCAGTGTCCCCACAGAGCATTCCACAGGCTGGCAGTCTTTAAAACTCTTTATATCTGTATTTATCTACTCCCTGCCTCTTTCCACAAAGGCTCTGAAGCGGCTGTGCACAAAGAGAGGGCTCAGGAAGGGCTCTCCAGGCTGAGCTGAAGGCACCGGGAACAGGATTTGAGGTTGGAGACTGGGGCGGGGTGTTCCCCTAGTGCCACATCAGGGCGCTTTCCTGCCCCAGCACAAGATCCCAGGCCAGCCAAACCAGCCCTACTGCTAAAGCTACTGACTGCCAGGGTTAGATGGGCCCAGAGTCCAACCACAGAAGAGGAAACTGAGGCTTACAAGACGAGAGACAAGGCCGCTTTCCCACTTCTCCATTACCCATCCCTGACGCTCATCAAGCCCACCTTATCAGCTGTGCTCAGAGCTTCACTGCCAACTTAACCAGGGGGAAAGAAAGGGAGGGAAAACAGTGAGACATAGCTTTCACCTGATGAAGTTTAGGAACCCGAATGGGGGTTGGAGGGGCGGCGCAAGAGTCCAGCCTGTGTCCTGATCTGATATGTGTCCGTACCATCATTTCACAGTAGACCAAGAAGTCCACATGATCCGAAAGGGGAGAAAGCAAAACCCGTTTACCTCTTTCCCTCAAAGCACCCAACCTGAATGTGCGTTTTCTTGTGGGGCAGAAGAACCTTCCTGACTGCTCCCACGACCAGCACTGCATCAAGGGCAATACCGAAAGCAGCCATTGCCGGCCGCAGGCAGTCGGGGCCTGCTTCCTGGAGGAGGAGGCGCGTTTCGCGGGCTCCGCGCTCGTGAACCAGCCCCTTCCCTCACTCACCGGTGTCCAGGGAGGTGAACACTGCGTTCGGGCTGGCTCGCCGGCCGCTTCCGCCGCCGGGCACTACTAGCGTCTGCATGTGCCGGACCAACTCGGGCATGCGGTCCCAGTGGCCCTCGGCGCGGCAGCGCTCCAGCTCGCTCTCCATCTTCAGGTGGGAGCTGTGCGCGCCCTTCGCAGCCATCTTCGAGCGGGCGCTGTCATGGGAGGTGCGGCCGAGAAGTG